TGGGGGTGGAGGAGCCCAGACGCCTGGGTTCGATCACAGCTCAACCCATGACACGCCCCCTCCCCCGATCCTGCCTCAGTTTCCCTCCGGCACCCCCTGTCCACCCCAAGCCCTAAATGCCAGTGCCTGCACATGGGGGGGCTCCGCTGCCCCTCCGCCAGCCTCCCCTGGCACCCCACCAAGCCTCTCCCCAGGAGCCTGACACATTCAGGGACCCCCCACCCAGCCACCCCCAGCGGGGTCCCCTCTCTGAGAGGGTGCCCGGCTGATGCACCGTGCTGTGGGCAAAGCGTTACCCAGAGGAACCCCTCGCTGCAGGACACCCCGACAAGGCCCCAGCCACCCCACCCCACCACGGGGCTTGCCCAGGGCAGGGGGACGGGGTGCACCCCACCCTGCAACTGCACCGAGGACCCCACACCCCCCCTGCACCCATCAGGGTGGTGCCAAGGGGGGCTGGCGGCAGCACCCCCAGATGCCGACAAGTTGCTGCGGGGATGCCGCCCTGTGGGGCGGCTGCCTCTGCCAAGCGTGGGCAGCAGCCATGCCAGGCCTGGGCACTAATTGCATTTGCCCCAGGAAGGCTCCTTACGAGCAGCAGCACCAGGGAGGGGGGCAGGGGGCAGGGGGCTTGGGGGGGTGCCACACACTTCACGGCTGCCCCCCCCCCACCCCGAGCGCCAGGTGACATCACCCGGCCCCCCCACCCCGAGCGCCAGGGAGGTGACATCACCGCTGGCTCCACCGTCCCCCACCCGCATTTAATTAGCAGATGGCCCCCGCACCCCAGACCCCCCCGCCGGGCAGCGCCAGGCCTGTGCGGGGCCATTAGCTTTATTGGCTGCGCTGAACGAGGGCCAGGCCTCGTTAATTGAATTGCACCCGCGCCAAGGATGGATGGGCATCTTCTCCCCGCCCCTCCGGCACCCCCCTCACTCGCCCTTGGCTGGGGCAGGGACAGGGGACTCCGCTGCCAGGGCAGGGACACGGCCCCCCCGCAGGTGTCGGGGTCCTGCCTGGGGAGTGCCTGGCACGGGGTGGGCGGTGTTGGCGGGTGGATGCAACCACGGGCACGCGCATGTGTGTGCACGCACACACGGGTGCCCTCTCAGCCCCGCACCCACGCCTGCCACACATATATGGCTTGCGCCTATAAGCGCACCCCTGTAGCCGTGCACACGCAGCCTGCACACGTGCACGCACACACATGCACACGCGTGCACATGCGTATGCATCCCTGCCGGCACAGTGCGGTGACGCTCCACCGCCCCCTCAACACCCTGTCTGTCCCCCCCATCCGATGAGGGGTGCTGTGCTCCGTGCCCACAGGGCCACCCACTGCGGGGTGGAATGGGGCAAGGGGGTGCTGGGGAGGCTGGGGGTCACCCTGAGCACTGCACCAGCTCCCCCATGCCCCTCAGCTGCTCGGGGGCACCCCACGGCCCAATGCCCCCCACCGGGAGCCAGGAGGGCGTGGGGAGGCCCAGGCTCCCACTCGACATCACTTCCTACTTTCGTTTTGGAGCCGAGCC